CTACGGACACGATCTACTTTTGATTATTATTGTATTTGATGTATTTTGTTTTATGTTTTATGAGTCTATTGTATTTCTTTCCCTTTATGCCCTTGCTTAAGGGCCTCGTCATGTGTTTGCCTTAGGGGCAATTGTGTCTTTGTATTTTCTTTATTCCGTTGTCGATTTAAATCCTTCCTCCCTCTTCATGTAAGGATGATGAATTGTTAATGAAAAATTTTTTCTACTTGTCTGATCTCTTAGTGAGTTCAAGAGAGGAGATTGATCTCTTAGTGAGTTCATGGGAGGAGAGACCTGAGGAGGGTGATTTGCAATACCCGTCAATCTTGGTGGATTCCAAGGTTCGCGGTTCTCTTATTTTTCTTTTCTTTTATTTTTTCTTGCATTGAATTCCCTCCCCAAACTTCCCACCCGCCGGCCTCATTCCCCACAAAGTTGTTCTTGGTAACTTTTCCCTAACCCGAGCCTCTTCCCTTGGGCCGCCGGCCTCCTTGGCCGCCCAAGCCACCGACCATCACCCACTCGATCGCCGGTTCCCTCCCACGGCCTCCCCCCTCCACCCACCTAGCCACCGGCCCACCTCCCAAGCCCCTAATTTGAAATTCAAATTTCAAATATTCCTTTACTCACTTTCCTAAAATAACCTCCCTCAATTAGGAAGGTGCATTTATTTGCATTCAATTCAATATTTGAATTTCAAATATTTCCCTCCCTAATACATCCCAATGAGGAAACATCTAATTTAATCAAATCTAAATTTAATTTATTTGAATAAATTCCTAAAATCACTCCTTGACCGACATACATTGAACCTAGACAATTATTTCCCCTCTCCATATGGCCGGTCCCTCCTCTCTCCCTTATTCTCTCTCTCACCACATTAAATCCCATCCCCCCTAATTACTTCAATCAATCCCTCAATTAGGAGTAAGTTTTCCTTTCCTTCCCAATGTTTTGAATTCAAATTACAAAACCTGGCCCACTCTTAATTAAATCTGGAATCTATTTTCAGGTTTAATAGAATCCGTTAGAAGCATTCCCAAGAGACCTTCCTTGCTGCCCAGAGTTCCGTCAATCAGCAAATTGGTGTCCAGAAAACCCTAAACGTCCACAGCAGCTGTCCAAGGTTTCCCTAAGCCTTGTAGGTGGCTGTCCTGAACTGTTCTGAGAGCTTAAAGCTGTTGTCCAGTAATTTAAATAGTCCCTTGTAGCTGTCTCGCCACTTCGGAGTTACAGATTGCTGTCTAACAACATCCAAAAGGCTCGTGGATGCTGTCCCCTTTCATTTCAACCTTCAAACGACTTTACTGGAGCTCGCATCTCTCTTGTCCTTGGGTAAACTCTTCCCCCGACTCTTTTTATCTTCGAAGTTACTTCTCAATTGTGGTCTTAGTAGATTCATGACAATCACGTTAATGCTTCCCCACTAAAGCCTAGTCATTAGAAGAGTTGAGTGATGGATCTTCTTGTAGAGACTAATCTTATTGTTAGCATAGGAATTTATGGTTGAAAACCAATCATGCATGCAACGTTAGAATAAATTGACTATTTTATGATTTTAACTCCTATGCATGTGATTTGGCCTAAGCTTATTTTACCGCTCTTTGGTTTTACTTAGTCGTTTGAAATCACTTTAAAGATTTAATTATTGTGCTCTAAATATTAAGCGTGCAAACTCCTTAATTTACTCATCCTTGCATGTACGTTCTACATCACTAGTAGATAACAATAACATGCAATAGCATAGGCTCAATAAGGGATGGGTGCAATGGATGTAAAAGGAGATCATGAGCAGCAGCACACAATGCACAATAAGTTAAATGTGGGCTGGGAGCAGCAAAGCGAAAGGAGATCATGAGGAATAGCGAAGGCTCATGGGCATGAATGTGTGTACAAAGGTAGCGAGCTTATCCCAAGTGCAATATGAGTACGATAGGATACATGCAATAGGCATGCAATGAAGGATCGCAAGCACAACAACGCTCATGAGTGTAGCCAAGCACTAAGAAGAAAGTCTTGTAAAACGAAGTTTCTACGAGAGGGTGTCAATGGGTGATGCCTCACCAATAGGGTAGCGTGAGGTGGGATGTGATTTATGGTAGCAGAGTCGTGAGGAGTTTTGAGTGGGTGATTGGTTTTTTTGAAGGGTTTACTAGAGTTTTTGTGTGAACAAGGTTGATGGCAATAATAGTAGGATTTGTGTTTGATGAATGGTTGATGACTTAAAGGAGGTCTTAGGTCACTTGTGGATTGTCAGAATGAGGAAGAAAGATAGCTAGGGTTAGAGGAGGGAGTTTGGCTGAAAGAGTGAGGATGAAGAGTTTGGCCTCTTGGGGTTGAAGTCATAAATAATTTTAAAAAGTGATTTCTTTGTTGTTTTTGAAATATTATTATTGTAGGAAAATTTAGAAGTGACCAATTACATATCCCAAGTTTATCCCAAGTTTCATTGTTTTCAGCTATTACGCATCATAAAAGATTATACGAGATTTTATCAACACCTTTAGTTTGGCCATCAATTATGGATGGAAGGTTGTAGAAAAATCTAATCTAGTTCCAAATAGCTTCCAAAGTGTTCTTAAAAAATAATCCTAGCATCTCTATCAAAAATAATAGCTGATGAAATACCATGAAGGCTTAGAATTTTTTGAAAAATATGCATGAAGCATCATTCTTTTAGAATAAAGCACAAAGTGGTCCATCATACGAAGGTCTTTTAAAGGCATGCATAAGACAAGTGTAATGTATTTATCAAAGCATTGGTTGGTAGTTTTGGTAATTTTACAAGTGTAGCTGTGAGAAACTACTTGCTAAACATATCTTTTTAGTATGACTTTGTTGTAGATAATTCATGAATATGACAAGTTATCATCTATCATGGTTTGATCTTTAATAATCAAAGATGGGAACTTTGATTTTACCGAATGAGAGCACTGCTAAATGTTGCTCTTGGAGCTAGGACTCGCATTTTTTATGCTTAGGTTTCTCCGTCTAAGCATGAAGCCGACCAACATTTCAGCAGGTTTTTGTTGAACCATTCTAAGACTTTGCCCGTTAAATTTCAAGTTCAGCATCATTTGAATTCATATTCAGTTCAACAATTATTGAGTTTGAGATGTAAAACATCTATTTCTTATTCTTTTGCAATTTCATCCCATTGTGGTTGTTCTGTTCACACTATTTTTTACCTCCCGCTACTGGCTTTTGTTGTTTTCAATTACTCTTCTGACACCTACCACCATTGACTCCTGCAATTCTTACTGATTGTTACTTCTATTTCTAGCTACTTCTCATTGCTCATATTTGCTCCTAGTTATTATATTAATTGGTGGCCTTTGCTTCCTACTACTTATCACTGCTAGGGGTGCAAACGAGTCGAGTCGAGCTCGAGCCAGAGGTTGTTCGAGTCGAGCTATACTCTCAGATACCGAGCTCGAGCTCGAGCTCGAACTCGAGTCGAGCTCAAAATCCGAGCTCGAGCTCGACTCGTTTCGCTATCGAGCGGCTCGTCGAGCTCAATTCGAGCTGAAATGCCGTCGAGTTCGGGTTCGTCGTCGTCGCGTTCGGGTTCGCCGGCGTCGTTTAGATTTTCCACCGTCAAGATCCGCGTCTGATTTTACCTTGCCGAGGGAATCGAAGCCGCCGAGGTAATGCACTGCTTGCGACCTGTTTGGAGGCAAACGTGTTGGAGATCGGGGGCGGAGGGGAGAACAGCGAGGGCGTCGTCGCCTCGTCGGAGGGGCTGTTTGCGGCGATGTTCTCGGTCTCGGATTCGCGATTGGGCCACGCAGCGTAGAAGATGTGGGTGACGTCGGTGAGGGGGGAGAGTTTGGCGAGGGTGTCGGTGGGGTCGGAGAGGTCGCATAGGATGGGCTTGAGTCTCGACAGCAAGGCCGCCGTCGGAGGGGGAAGGAAACCAGGGGACGCGAGGCCGTCGTCATTTAGAATTTTTGATTTCCCGCTCACGATTTCCATTTCCCCAGCTAGCTTTGCAATCGAGCTGCTCGACGAGCTATCGAGTCGATCAATCGGCTGTTCGAGCTCGAGCTCGAAATTGCGTTCAAGCTCGACTCGCGAGCTCGATAAGCTCGACTCGTCGAGCCTATTATCGAGTCGAGCTCGAGCCGGCTCGCGAGCCGGCTTGACTCGGTTGCACCCCTAATCACTGCTAACCTCTATTTCCCTCTATTTGTGTTGATTGCCAATTTTTTATCTGCCCGTGTTGGAAGTAAGAAACTCCATATGCTGGAATCAATAATTGGAGACCTAGCATTTACATGTGCTGTTGGAATTCATGTATGATGTATTAAAACTTGTTATATTTAACTACATCCTCATGGATTCCCAAAACTCTATTTGGATTATAAATAAGACCCTTGAGGCATGTAATATTCTTCTAATGGTTCAATAAAATTTCAAACTTAATCTCAGTAATTGTGTGTTGTTAGATGTGGATTCTTCCAGCACAATTTTTTATGACTATTTTTAGGATGACTCTCCTTGTACTAGCATGAGGTCTGGAGTACACTTGATGACCTATTTTCTTTATATATCTTTTTATTATTTGTGCATGTATGTCAACCTTTGTTTGGTGTGAATATTGATGGATGTTGAATTTTATATTTGCTCAGTCTTTTTTTGTGAAAATTTAAATTTTGGTGACCATTACATTATTTCTTCGAACAAAATAAGAGAATTTCTTATTATGGAAGCAAAGGTGACCAATATTTGCTAAAGTCGAGAGTTGGTAACATGTGAATTATGAATTATTCATGTGTGCACCTCATCTTAGATTGCCTTAGTGAATCAAAGATGCTAAGGAGCCCTACATCAAAGTGTCTACCAACATATTAGCATAAGATAATGAGTAATCTAATTGGGTAAGTTTTAAACAACAGAGAGCTCTGCAGATAATATGACAAATGTAACCAACTGCATTTAACACTAAACCATAACACACCATAAACTCGTCAGTAATAAAAATACGGAACCACACTCACCACAAGTTATCTTTCTTTGATCATTCGCCAATACCTTAACTAGTTCACCCTGCAAATGGAAATCAGCTGAGCATAAATAAAAAAACAAATGCATAAACTAATTAGTAAACAGACCTACTCAAAAGTTTAGTTCAAGGGAAGCCAGCTAGAAATTCTAAAAAAGATACGTAAAAATAAAACAAATATGATAATATAACTAAGCATTTTATCATTCCCAGAAAAAAATTCATTTCAAAAGGCCAACAGCTGCTTGTATAAATAGGCATGAAAGAAACATCATTGAATGAAAAAGACCCACATAGAAAAATCAATCATTTTAACTCTCGAAAGAAGAAAAGTCATTAAAATAAGATTATTAAGGTTAATAAATTAAGATACCACATGCCAAATGACCAAGTGTTAACTGCCCTTAAAAAGTAAAATGACAATGTACTAATTGCCCGTTATAGGTTAAGATGCACACCTCAAATGACCAAGAGCTAATTTCCCTTTGTAAGTTAAGATGCCACACGTCACATGGTCAAGTGTTAAATTCCCTTGCCTCCAAAAAAAAGAGGTAAAGGTTCAAATCCCATCAGTAAAGATTGTCAGGAAGGTTGCAAATTTAACACAACAATTATGCATAATTTCAAGATGATTATGTGATGTGATTATCACCATTGTATAACATTATAAGTGCCTGAAAGGGCGAGAAAAATATAATACTTATTCTTTTAAGTGCGTAAAAGTATATGGAAATGTTAAAATGGTTAAAACCAGCATTGTAGTTTATGAACTAGAACACTGTTTCCCAAGCTCATTCTGTTTACACCCCTCCTCAATTCGAGAGGAGGATCGATCTCTCCCAAATCTCTAGACGCCGCTAGAGCCCAAAGAAAACCTAAATCTAAGAGATCTCAAATTTCAGCCAAATTCAAGATGATCAAACCCTAGGAAAATCTACTATTTAAAGCATACAAATCAAAAGGAATTCCCTAAACAGTCCCTACGTTCAAATTTCCCTCTCAAAACGCTCAAAAAAACTTCCTAAACGGTTCTACGGGGGGGAACGGGCGTTCTCCGCCAGATTCGCCTGTTCGCGATTTACGCCCGTGAACCGGTCCCGCCTGGACCGGCTGGACCGGTCTAGTGGACCGGTCTAACAAATTCTCATATTGAACAATGTGAGCTAAGCACATATAAATTAATGTAGAGCAAAATTCGGAGGTTCACTAAACCGAAATACTCAATAGGCATATTAATCATGTGTCAATTTTATATTAGAATGGGGTTTAGGCAGATCCCCATTATTTTCTTCCATTAAAAAATAATAATAAATTATAATTTCTTGCTCGAGGCATACAATAATGAAAATAAAACCAAAAAGCAGAAAAAAATACACACGAAATTAATCTAAAAATACATTAGATTTTCTACTCCTAAAATAATGGTAACCCAACTTATCAAGTCTAGCAAGTCCTCGAATAAGATCATTAATGATGTAGACAAAGGGGGGGTCAACACTAGTCCAAAATAAATCAAATTTTGGCTTCCCTTGAGTCTAGTAGTTTAACATATTTGAGCTGAACTTTTAGTTCATTTATGAGCTGGACTTTAATTCATTTATTGAACTAAGGGTTAGCTCATTATGAGCTAACATTTTAGTTCATTTATTATCTTACTTTTTATTAAATGTTATTTAGTTTTTAATGTTTTTTTATGGTGTCTCTTGGGTTTCCAAAAAGGGCTTTTGGAATCCCAAGAAAGGTGTTTTGAATTCCCATGCATGACTCCTTGGTTTCCTCCATGGTTTCATTGCATTTGCCCCCTTGGATTCCGGCTGGCCGCTGGTTTCCCGTGCCTGGGCTCTTTCCCGAGGCCGTGGCCCCTTGGTTTCCGCTCGGCCTCTTTGGCTCTTGCGGCTACCTCTTCGGTTCTTGGGTTTGGGATTTATTTTTAGGTGTTTTAATGTTTTGATGCTTAGTTTCTTGTGTTAAATTTAATGTTAGTGTCTCTTTGTATTCCCTTTCATACCTATATATATGGGGGGTATTGTAATGTTTTAAAAAAGTGAACGTGATATGTGATTTTTGGAAAAAAAATCTTTGTTAACTTGCGGCTTGCTTGGAAATTCTGCGGGCTCTTTCCACCCTTCTTTCTCATCCCCTCCGGAAATCCTGCGGGCTCTTTCCAACCTTTCTTCTCGGGCTTCTAATCTCTTTTGTCTCTCCGCAAGTGCCACTCCACCTGTATCCTTCTTCTCTAAGTGAAGCAACTTTAGGGTGTCGTCATTTTGTTTGCAAGAGTCGTTTGTATTGTTGTAAGTTTTCTTTTGTTTAGTTTAATTTGAAATGTAAGAGTTTGTTCGTCCATTTTCTCGTCCTTAGTCATTTTCGTCCGTAGAAGTCAGTCTTGTCTTTTGCGATCGAGAGATATAGGGCCCCCTGTATCTTTTGCCCGCATCAATTAACATTAGTATTCAAAGAACTTTGAACTTTTCGTGTGAACTTCTTCATTAACAAGCAAATTCTCCACACATTTAGTTTTTCTTAATATATATAGCAGTTAGCATGTAATGGAGCATCAGATATTTGATAAACTGAAAGAAGAGAAAGTAGACTAATCTCCACCTCAATCAAAACTCAATCGTATTAGACAAGAATTGTTCCAAGAAAGACATAATAATAACTTCAATAATTCCTTCTTTTAAAAATTTTATATCTTCTTTAATGTTTTTTTTATGCAACGATAACTAAACAAGCTCAACTTCTTCCTACAACTCTTGCTGCATCAAGTAGTATTACAACAGCATTCTAAAAGAAACATAGGCTTCATTTAGAACAGCTTTCTTACCGCTTTATTTTCAGACCGCAACTAGAATTTTTGATTGGCTGCTACTTTTCACTGATTTCAATAAATTTCTACAACTTTACAATCAGCTTTATAAAAAGTTGTAGCAAAAATCAAATCTTTATATTTAGCCTATATATCAATAAATTTCTGCAACTTTACACTTGTGCATCCGTCACTCCTCCCCTTGTCATTTTTATGCTTGGAATTTGGTTTAATGGATCCCACAAGGGAATCAATTTCTTGGGTTATAAATAGGGAACCCGACCTTTGTTCATTCCTTTGCATATTTCAATTTAGAGAGCGTATTGCTAAGGGCTTTGAGTGCACACTAGCTAGAACCTAAAAGAGAAGTTTTTGTCTGTTTATTGGTGAGAAACTAGTTCTCCTACAAGTTATATTTTGGTAGGTCTTGATTTTCAATTCATATTTACTTTCCAATGTTTAGAATCTAGGGTGCCGTGCATTTTTAATTTATTGACTTAGGAGTTTAGGTAGATTTCAATTTATTTAAATATTTTCTAAGTCATGAGTTTTGTTACAAATTTTGGCAGCACCCCAGCGTCCATGCATAGGGGGTTGCATTGGGTGTGTTAAGTATTCTTGTCTGCTAATAATCAGTCATGGTAAGTGTCAAGTGACACCGCGGCCGAAATTTTATTCATCGCTTGCTAATAAAAGCGGGCACGAACCTTCAAGTACCTATTTATAAAGCATAGCATTTCCCTGCCTGCTAAGAAAAGCAATCATGAATAATTAGTTTTTTTTTTATATAACAAATTTTCTAGCTCACGAATAAAAGCAGTCACGAATACTTATATTTCATGCAAATGAATTTCTCCACAAGCTAATAAAAGCGATTACGGGTACTTATATTTCCCAGCTTGCTGATAAAAACGATGATGGGTACTTATATCATGTAAACAAATTTTCCCTCTCTCTAATAAAAGTGGTCATAGGTATTTAAGGCATGCATGCGAATTTTCTAGCTCGTTGATAAAAATGGTTACGGGTACTTATATTTCCCCGATCGCTAATAAAAACGGTCATGAGTACTTATATTACATATACAAATATAAAATACAAGTGTCGGGTTATACCTTAGGTGCGCGGCGCAAGTGATGATGAGATGGCAATGCACGAGACCTCACGGTGGTGGTGTTCAGAGTGGCCAGTGGCGGCTTGGGCACGCATGACGGCATGAGAGAGATAGACAAAGGGAGAGGGCAGTTCAGCGGGTTTGTGCATGAGGAGTCGTGAGGGGATCAGTTGGAGTGAGTATGAGGGAGTTTTATGTGAGAAGGGGGTATTTTAGATATTTTTTTATTTTTTTATTTAAACATTTTATCTTTTTTTAATTACTATTGGTAATTAATTATATAAATAAAATTGGTATAGGTTTTTTTTTGCTTCTACGCCGCAATTAGATTGCCATCGTCGTTCGCGTAAGTCATCGCCTTGATTCACACACGTAAAATTTAAATTTTCACCGATTAAACCCCAATCAATATGGGTGTTGATCTTAGATGTTTCTGTTACTCTAGACGTGTTGGCACTATCCGTTTTGCTAAAGGATGAAATTTCGACGATTTGGGTTTTTGGTTGACGCGTTTCAAGTGAGCCAAGCACGACGTCGCACTCTTTCGCTTTCGAAATTTACCGTACACGGTCGACCCAACTCCGACACTGGTATTGAGGTCAATAATTACTTTTTGGTTGAACTTGGATACAACCCTTGATCCTACTACATGGCAATGCATCCATAACACGCATGTGTGCTTATGTTTGTTATCCCATATCCATAACATGTTTTCAACACAATTCAGATCGCCATATGTGTGTTGCATGGATACAACATCCCATGTTAAAGATTCAGGTAAGGAAGTCATTACTCCGAGTAAACAAAAAAATAGATAAATAGATAACATAGAAAAGAACCTTCAAAACAAAAATTACCTTCCGTTTCCTGTCATCTAATGGATGAACCTCAATGGCAAGATAAGAGTCAACATCATCAGCAGTAACGAGATACTTGGGTTGCTTTGCTCCTATCATTACATAGATAAAGCTTAAAACTGGCAACATTACAACAAGATGTACAGGGTTTTACGTACCTTCTATATAGTGCACTGAACCATCTTCTAGATAGCGTACCCACTGCAAATAATAAAATAGAAAAGGTATTATAAGTTGAGTGCAACACACATGAAGAAATTCTTTCCCACAACACCCGTATGACCACAACATATATAACTATGGTAGAGCACAAAGCATAAAATATACCTCAAAATTACAACTGGTTGTTCCATTGATGGAGTACCCACCCGCTTGAAGTTCTCTTCCTGGAAAAGCTTCGCCTGAAATCTGAAGACCTTCTATTGCAGGCAATGGATCATCTTCTGCAGCTGCATATATGACATATTTGCTGAAAGATGAAGCACAACTAAGGAAACAAACAAAGTATCTTCAGTGTGATAACGAATGTAACCTTCAGAAACTGAAGAACTTGGCTCCTCAAGGACGGGCGGCAGGTAAGGATAAGATGAGTTGGGATCATCAAGTCCAGAAGATAGGTAAGGAGAGTTAGCAGGAACCCAATGGTCAGCAGGTTCTCTCCCCTGTGGAACATTAGTTGCTTCAGAATCATCTGTTTCATTGTTTCTAGCAAGGTCCTTGAATGATGGATTCTGATTTCTTGACTCGGCACTAAAATGTACAGCATGAGGGTATCCTTTGCTTAAATGGGTTGGCATATTTTGTGCCACATTCCTAAAATGCCCAAAAGAAAAATGTGCATCCAAAGAAAAGGTCAATAAAGCAACAACAGCTGCAAGTTACTATAGTGAATGGAAGCCTAGTTAAGCAAGTAGCCTGCTATATGTATAACTGCAATGTACATGGATGAATGGCATCTCTGTGAACATAATCAAACATTGCAATATTGCATAAACATGTAAGAAAAATATACAGCATATGTATATTTCACATATGCATAATGAAAGTACTCTGTTTTCATGTTAACTAGCATTTATATTAAAGATTTTCTCCATTGTTTTATTTTTAAATTATTAAAAAAAGCATAATAGAAACACATAAAACTAAAAAGCAAACCAGGGTTTCAAAGCTGAATGTGCCATGGACAAGGTTTAAAAACCAGACCAAATAGGCTGGTTCAACCATGTACCAATTCCCTGATCAATTTGGTCCAAAGTTAAAACAACCTTTATTAAGAACCAATTAGAACGAGTAGTCAGACCAATATTTGGTGGATCAATTAAGATTTCATTCGATTTTCTAATTCAAATTATCATCAAATTATAAGTATTTATTTTAAACAAGGCGGCTAAAATTTAATCTTTATATAAATAATTTATAGCCAAAATTTATTAAATAAATTATAAAATTATTCTTCACATAAATCTAGTTTTTTAAATTTAAAATTATACAAGATATTTCTGGTGTATGTTCTATATTTCTTAAAGTGATTCTCTTTATTTTTGTTATTTCGTGTTTTTTAATATTAATTATGTCATCCAATTCAACCTATGATTAAATTCTTGTTGAAACATTAAATCTGGGCCATTTCCTTCTTTCCACACAATATTTAGTCCGATTTCAAAGTTCTCGGCCATGGAAAGATACTATATGTTGCTTAAATCTGGCCAACAATAACAAACTCCATCAAACTAGCAACAAGATATTTCACTTTAACAGAGGTAATAAAAAAAAGTTGAGAACATACGACAACATGAATATATTTTCTTGTCATTTAAACTCTTCTAATTTTCACATCTAGGAGAACTTTCTCGGAAATTCCCACCATCATCACAGCGAATGCTATTATTCACGTTAGTACCATGATTTTAAGCCCAACTAGTATGTGTCGTCAATGCCTTTTACAAAAGAAACTTAATTAAAGAAATATAAATTCTTGAATTCACCGCTTGTAGGGCAACTCGCAAAATTAGTACTTGAATACGTTACTCTATTACCAAGCGGGCATAGTTGAAAATATCCAAATAATACATGAAGCCATTCAAATACACTAATGATGGTCATGTTGAAAGCAAATCTAAATTAACATGGACTTTAGTTTCAAAATGCCCTTAAACCCATATGCAAGATATTTTGGCCTTGAATCCAAGTAAACAACAAAAATATCAAGAAAATCGACAAAATTCAAATAAATTAGGTGAAATCTATTATTTTTTAAACTTAAAGCAAAATCTATTCCTTCTCCACAACCGTTTTTCGAGAGTGATAAATTTGAGAATAACCTCAACTCTGAACGAGCCAATGTCATATCGAGTATATTGCTATAATTTATTCTCAAACAATCTCTCACCAGTAAGGACACGACATATGACCTCCAACCAATAATTTTGCCACCAAATGCACCACAATCAAACGATTATGATTGGGACCCTCTACTAGGTGATTTTATAATAAAATGGCATCATTAAATTATTATAATGGCCAGAGCTCATAATTTTTCTAATGGCTAAAAATTCCTTGAGTAATAAATCATATAGTGCACTTGAATTTATTCTCTTAGATAAATATCCACCTTCGGTCTACAAAGTTCCTTTTGACAAAGAAACTCATGGCTACTGACGATAATTCTTTGGTCAAGTTGGATCAACTATCTCCTCCAACTAAATAAAACAGGGAACATGGATCTTTATCAAGTTCATTATTACTACTCCCACCATCCGCTTTAAGTTTAAAGTGGTAAACTTTTAACTCCACCAAATTTGATGCTACCATATGTTCAGCGCTTATATTTAACGAACAGTCTTAATAAAAAATTCTCTCTTATCACTAGGAGGACTAATTAACCAGAGGAACTTGTGCCTATAAAAAACCTGAACTAGATCATAATGTACTCGCACAATGAGGGTGAAATCTTTGGTTGGTGTCATATCTTAAATCCAACATGTCTACCAAAATTTTGACCCGAAAATCCACCTAAATTCTCTTAGCAGAGGCTAAGGCATGAATTTTGACCAAACATTAATGAAAATAGGGTTTTAGTAACAGATAAATGTTTACCCTCATTATTGACATAAGTGCTTTGTTGTTACAAAGAGAATATCATTTGTTTGTAAGTTGGCCAACACATAGGGAACTTCATAAAACAAGTTTAACCAAACATCATTACTAATTTCCCACAACACTTCCCTGCCAAAACTAAAAGCCTAAATGAAGTAAGAGGTGGGGAGAGAGTGGAAGGTGATGGAAATATCATTACAAAAAACTGCACATATGATAAATATCTACATTTACAATAGAAAGGAGAAGAGAAAAACGGGAGGAAGAGGGGAGAGAGAGAGAGAGAAAAAAAAGGAAGAGCCGGTGGCTTTGAAAGAGACAAAATTAAACTTCATTCTATGGTTAATCATTATCTCAACTCAGCCCTGATGGTTACTATTTATACAGATACTATTTATACAGAGAGTGCCACAGCGAGAGTGTCATAGGGTCACAAGCACATAAAATAACAACACAATGGAAAAAAAAAAACCATAATAAAAATAATAAGGAAACAAAAAAGCCTAATCCTAATAAAACAAATACAATTTTTCCTAAAATAGAAAGCTTAAATAAAGACGTTGATTATGTAACTAACAGCATATTTGATGTCAAACATAAGTTCGAATCAGGAGGCACTCAAACTCTTCTAGGCCGTGAATAACTCTCCATTAGGAAGTTAAGGTGAAGATACTCATCCAGAGGTTGAGGGCAATATGCTATAGCTCGTAATGAGTCACCCAACAACCATTTGATAGTGAATGGCCTCTCCATCGGATAAAATACTGTTGTTTGCCTGAAGGACTCAGTATAACCTCATATGATAGAAGTTGCTCATCAATTGAGAATGACGTGGGAGTGGCAAAAGTGAAATTGGTGCTATTAGCAGGGATGCATAAACTTTATTAGTAGATATACTTGTTTGACATTTTGAAGGCTCAAAAGTATCTCTTTATGGCATTAAATCCTTAGCCTTGAAAATTGGATTAATATTCATGTCCCAATCAAATTAATAAAAAATTAATTCTGCACAAGCTTTCTAAGTTTTTTGTTGATGAAAAGCATTCAGGGAAAATACAAACTAACACATAATCACCTTCATTATGTTCTCATTCGTATAAGTATTCGTTATAGTTTTATACTTATCACTTTGCAAACAATTATGCAACTTATGTATATGCTCAGCAAATGATGTAGTAGAATCAGAATATGTTGCAAAACATTTCCAAGCTTCCAAGGTTATGACAAGCACACAATAGTCAGTGGAACTCTTCCTTAAACTGGCTAAATATCATGTAGGGCAACAAGTGGACACTCAATCTTTCTACAAGTGGAGTTGATATACAAGGACATAGCAAAAATATTAGTTTACACAAGTCCAACTAATTGTCAAGGAGGTAAACCTATAAAAGGTACAACTAAGTTTTATGAATATGAAGGTTCTCTACTCAAGTTTTGCAATCCTCGAAACTTTATAGAGACTTACATTGTCCGTGTGGTGGCAACAGGTCATCAGGTCTATTATGAACTACAACAGTTTCCATTCTGCTTTGAATTTCTACCCAAAGAAAGAATGGAAGTTATCGTGAATAGTCTGGAATGAAAAAGTGGGCAATAAGACACTGTCAAAGTTTAGTGAGCAGGATGCAAATAGAATGGGAAGGAAAGTGTGTCATTGCAAGCGCAAATAAAGGATGCAAAGTCACTTGACATAATCGAGAAAGACTCCTGTGATCAAGGCGGATGCATGGTAAGCTTATTGAGGAGCAAGACATGCACATGGAGCATATATATATACATGTCGATGTCAAATACAAGTTCAGATCTCATCACCAGGATGTAGAAAAGATAGCTCTACCTACCATCCCAATCAACAACTTCAACACCCTCACCACATGCCAACCTTCATGTACTTCTACATTGGCCATCTTTGAATAACTTGCCAAATTGTTTTTAGCTTTAATTAGTCCACAAATAAGGTAGAAGTATCTTGTGTATGGGGATGAAGTTTTGGACAAAAATAGAAGCACCTAGTGGTGGCTTAGAATCAACAGAACGATTTGAAACAGGAAGATTAATAACAGTTGTAATAAAAGAAAATAACTATTGTTCTGGCAAAAAACCAGTTTAAGAAAACCCACACTCCATTGCATGTGTGCAAAAAGAGAACTATATGAGCCAATTGAAATGGATGTGCAATTACAGACTAAACAAGTGGCAGAAACTGAAGATAATCAACATAAACTTTTATCTATAAAAAATCCTAAAACCAGACCAAAAACCATCCACATCAAGCGCCTAAACAATCCCTTTTACCTATTCAAAGAAAGAATGTTTCCTTCCAAAATATTGAGATCCTGATTTTTTGTAGCAACGTTGCTGAGAATAGCATGATTATGATTGCCCAGTCCCTCCCATTCTTTTGGCCGAGCATTATTGGCTGGAGAAGACCCAGGAGATTGTGCATGAGTAAATGTTGGCTGTGGCACAATCTCAAGGCCTTTGTTCTGGCAACAATATTAATCAGAAAGGAGAAAATTTTTGGGACTAAAATAACAGGAAAAAAAAATAGTGCTTGCTTTAACAATACAATATTAATCTGAAGGGAGAACAACTTTTCTGTGAATAAAATAACCAGGAGAAAAGTGTGATCATACAGACGTGACAAGGTTTGCACCAAGAGGATGAGAAGGTGATTGTGAAGGAAGGTTCGTGTCATTAGCCGGTTCCAGATGCCATGGAGCTAACTGGTATTGAGAGTATTTCAACTTCTCCTGCCAATAAAAAATTTTAGAAAATTCTAATTAGAAAGGTAAATGAGAATCTAACAAACAGTTTAAGAGAGAGAATAACTTTATTTTCCCAACAATTGTTATTTTGGCACAAATCCACAAATTTCCAAAAGATAATTTGTGCTAAGATGTAACCCACTAATCATGTTAAAACATGCATCATACCTCAGTGATTATGAGTTTTTCTTGCAAATGTCTGAATAAAACCTGCATGAAGACAAGAAACTAAAGTAAGAATGTGAATCTTACAACGCATATAGCTTCTGTACCAATCATGCACAAAACAAAGAAAATCTAGAGATTGAACAACAAGAAGATGACAGAAAGTTTCAATGAGAACCAATAACAAAGAATTGTAATCACATATGCAACAATTTAGCATAATCAAGAAACATCATGAAAAAAACTAAAACTAAAAAATAACAAAGAATTGTAACCACTCAAGGGAAAAACAAGCCAGATGAATCATGAATGTATATGATCTCCTTTTCTTAAGGCGGAAGCAAAACAATCACTAATTTAGCAAATATAAACATAATAAAATAAATCATTTGCATGTGCTTGTGTCTGCACATGAATACAGGTCATGGCAGTAAGCAATAAAACTATGCACAATGAACCTTCCTAATTCCATATTTTCAAGCAAAACATCTGAAGGAAAATTGAGATTGTGGAGCTGGAAGAATGGTTCGCTAAGATTATGAGACACATCAAAATCTCTGAAACCGCATCCAGATTGAAATATTGCCCTTTCGGCATCATACCAAACTCAGAAGCCCCAAAACCTCTAATAGCCATCCCATGTCAAGAAGGATTGTAGATATCTTTGAGAACATATCAGCAAATATGGATGGATTGCTTCTGTGGACAATTTACTTCATTTAGGCTTTGTAAGAATGGCAAAAGGGGGAAATAATTACGTTAAGCAGGAACCCTTCATACATAATAAGCTACTTCTTGACACATTTTTAACTATAGAGAGAATCTTCATTAGCATTATATTGATATTAAGAAACAACATTCTGGAAGATCAATTTGTGTTATGTGGTTGAGGGCTTCAAGACAACTACATCCTTTTACTTGCATATATTGACCAAAAACCAAAGAAAATATCCTATTACAGGGAGATAAATGACTATAAGTAGGATTTGGAAGAATATATATGATGGTTCATGTTTAAGAGAATTCAAAAATGTTTATCCGAGCAAGAAGTTGGAGTGGCAGACACAATTGCGCAAAGAGATAATTAAAAATGCTTTTAAATATGAAGATTATTAAAAAAACATTAGGACAGCCATTACTTAAAATATTTTTTCCAATCAAATGTTCCTTGCCCATGTATATCAAGCAGCTTTCATTGCATCAATGCATCTCACCTTTAAACAATCTTATAGAACCTTAAGATGTTAAATCACCATACAAACTAGAGATTAAAAAATAACCTAATCAATGTTTTTAAGTATCATCCAAACCAACAAATCTTAGGCAGTTCGGGTCCAAAAGCTTCTTTGAAGAGAGATATTAGCAGTAGTTTTGCCCAATTTCTGTTTATTTCAGCCTGAAATTTCACTGAAATTGACCCAATAATCAGATAAAAGTAGGGGGAAAACAACTTATAGTAAGTTTACATGCGGAGGTGTAGCACTTGAATTGATGGAGGATGAAAGCAGAAATCTATCCTTCCATTCTGCTGCACCAAGGAAACCATCTGGTCTTGAGAACAGTAAAACATTACTTCGAACTAATTCTAGTAAACTCCTGATTTTAAATGTAATGCTATGCATAAGGTACAAATGGTACTACAATAATAATATCAAGTCTTTATCCCACCATGTAGGATTATGCCTAAGGTACGAATAAATTAAAGAAAACAGTGAAGAAAAATAGAAGTAACTTTAAAGTTATAAAATCTATCAAATTTTGGCCGTATGTATATAGCACCCAAAATTTTCAAGAGATGGGAAGAAATTTTTCCTGAACCGAAATTTGTCAAGATCATTTTTATCACATTCTGTACTTGATTTCCATCATTTCGATATATAAAAGCATATACAGATAATCTACCTAAATCAAGTTATGCATAGAATTAGTTTTTGCCAAAGTATAGAGTTAAATTCACTGCAGCAGTGCATTATTGCACTGTAGCAGAGCAGTTTCCCAACTTCTCCAGAGTAGCAAATGCGGTGGGTTGGCTTTGGCAGTGGATTAAAAATAACGATTAGTTAACAACCTATAAATACCTATTAAAGACTCCTAATCCCACCCCTCAATACACCATTATTTGTAGGGCAGAAGCGGCAGGCCGGGAGCAGAGTTGGGGTACTGTAGCAACAGCACCGTAACAGGAATAGAACATAGGAAGTTATTGCAGCAGCTAGAACTGTAGCTACTAGGGAGAAAAAAAAAAAGAAAAGGAGAGAAAAACATAGATGAAAAACTGTAACTGAAGAAGAAAAGCTTGGGAAAACTAAAGAGTAAAACCTAAAACTAGTCCCCCAACTATCAATAAATGTACAATTTAGTGTCAGAGCTTCACATTGCCCCATTTTAGTCTCTATACTATTAGAAATTAAGTCAATTTGATCCTAGATTCTAAAAAAGGAGTCAAAGTTATCTTTACAAGTTTGAGTTTTTTATATTTCAAATATATTTAATAGACTTAGGAAGTTTGTTTGGATCTGTAGTATACAGTTACAAGAGAGATGAACTAGAAGGATGAAACCCCCAGGTGAAGCTCTTGATGCATCTAAAAGCCAAAGCTTGAAGACCCATAGGTCAAGTCTGTAATTGTTATTGGGTTGTATAAGACAGACACCAGATATAATTTATAAAAACTGAGACTTTACACTTTACTCCTACTCGGTTGATTTTATACAAATTTATATATTTATTTGTTTACCAAGTGTACATTAAAAAATCTCTGTTTAAAATTGCGCAATTAGAGGCGCGCCTTTGCGCAATTTGACCAAAAAACGCCTCGAGGCTTACGCAACTCTTCACCTGGCTGAGGCGTACGCCTCACCTGGACTGAGGCGCGCCTCAGATGCGCAATTGCGCAATTCTGGGTGAGGCGTACGCCTCACAGAATAGGCCCCACCCACTTAAAATGAACCCTCTTCCTCCCTTCATCCCGCAAGGTCTCCCTCATTTCTAAAAAAAATCCCTTCCAGCTCTCTGTTCGCGAAATCGAAGGCGTCCCGCATGGTCGGCCATCCTTCCCGCCACACTTTATTCAGTTCTGATTATGTTTTTTTCTTGAAAACAATTGAATGGTGGATTCAATTTGGTGATTCCGCCCCTGAGTTACAGAGTTTTGCTGTAAGAGTGTTGGGCCTCACTTGTTCTTCTTCTGGGTGTGAGAAAAATTGGAGTATATATAGCCAAGCGCAAACAAAGAGAAGAAATCGACTATCAACACTCAGAATGAACTCTCTCGTATATATTATGCACAACAAGAGCTTGAGAGAGATGAGGTTAAGGAATAAGGGGTTGAAGGATGATGATGACTCATTAGTGTGTGATTATGTGTCGTCTGATAATGAGTGGTTCATAGATGATGAGACAGATTTGCCATTATCAGACTTACAGTTAGAAGATCTAAGTGTGGATGTCTTGAGGGGCGAAGCAGATAAAGTTGACACATCCACTAGTACTACACCACACACATCCACTAGCTCTGCAGCACAACAATCAAGTAAAGATATTCCACAACTTCTTATATGCTATTACATTATATTTATGTCAAGTGAGCAATGAACATGAATACATGATAATGATCTTTTCTCTTAATGAACAGGGAAGAGAAAAGTGAGTCATGTTGAAGATGATGATGACATGGCATTCATAGATACAATTGGAGAAGAAGATTCACTTGAAGACCCATTTAGTGATGGGATATGATTTCATTTTATATGTTTTTTGTATTCTGGGAGTTTTGTTAAACTAATATTTTGTGATTTTGTACTTTGGGACATGATTTTATTGCATCTACTTTCTTATTTTTCACTATTTTCATATATCATTTAGATGTTTTTATTGTAAGGTACAATATTGCTATTATTTTCCTGCTAAAACCTTTGATTTTTCATTTACGCAATTCTGTGTCCGTGAGGCTTACGCCTCAGACCGCCTTGAGGCTTACGCCTCGCCTCACGGACGAAAACCGCCTCGAGGCTTAATTACGCAATTTTAAACCTTGTAAAAAATGTCTGTTTTTTTCTAGGTTTTCACTTGTTTTTGCTTGGAGGTGGTCTGGACATGAGTTATATAATAGGCTCTTAAGATAAATTTAAGATTTCTACCATTAAAAGATTTAAATAAAAAAAATCAACCACTGAATAATATGTATTTTTCTATCAAAAATCAAGCCAAAATTTTAAATTAAAAAAATTAAAATGATAATCCATGACCAGTGTATCTTATGTATAAAGCCCTTATATTAAGGACAATATAATAAAAATATGTATTCACTATTCAGTGCGTCAGTATTTGCATACCTATATGGTCAAGTATCTTGCCCCAAAAGTCAAATTGTAAGCCATATCTTTTAAATCAAAATAATCTTACCTATTTTGCACATGCATTAAGACCAGGTCTCTTTAAAATGTTTAAGTGAGTTAGTTGGCGGCTCTTTTTAGGCAGGGTTATAAGTCTAAAGGTCGGGTTGACTTAGCCTAAGGTGTTACACCCTATTTTGACCTCAGTCAATCTAGAGAGTAACAGAGAAGGAGAATCTGAAAAGACATCCTTCTTACTAACACTCATTCTAAACTACCTATATCAGAACCAAGGAGTAAAAATTAGCCTATTAAAAATATCTTAACGTATAAAGTTTTATACTTAACAACAAAATTTGAGATCAAAAAATTAAGCAAACTAAAATACTTTCTAAGCATATAAGTTGCACAATATGAAAAATGAATATTTCTCTCTCAATATAAATGAGTTACAAACTTATGGAGAGAAATAAATAGGATGAATTGCAAGTCATATGAAACTTCAATCAAACCATAGTCAAATTTTGGATGATGATAAAAAAGAACAAAGTTAGACCAAGACAATACTAGAGACTTGTTGGGAGACTACTCTACCTTTCTCATATTAGACCACATACAACATTTATTGTAAGTATGATTAGTCGATTTATACACAAATCTATGTATCTTCATCTTCAAGCAGACCATTGAGTTCTAAGTACTTGAAATCGA